GTCACATAGAATGCCATTCTCCCCGTCTGTTAGGCTCTTATCTCAGGCTTCACTACTCAGTGTAACCTTCACTACCACCAATGTTTGCTTTAGTCTCTTGTACTAGGTGCAGCCTTCCTCGGGGCTTTTCTAGGCCTCTGTGTATGTCTACTGGAAATCACAAGCACATATACTTCCATCTACATATTTCCCGGTAGGTTTTGAGTTTTACAAATCTAGCTCCCAGACCTTGGGTTCTTTAAATATACTGTTGAAATGCAACAGTCTTCTGACAAAGACAGCCATGACAGGTATACAAGGTGTTGGAAGAACACTGAAGAATTTCTCTGCATGGATGTGGGAGTCAGGAAGATGCCAGGGACTGCTTTCAGGATCGTGCACTGAATCCGAAAGGGTGAGCACACATTTATCATGTGGACAGCGGAAGGATCTCAGCATGAGCATCATAAGAAGGGAAAAGGAAGGCACAGAAGGCAGAAAAGGATCTGAACCTGGAGGGGCCTTGCTACAGGAAAAACAATAAAAAGAAAAAGAAATCCTTCCAACAGAGGGCAACCTGAAGATTCCGGTCAGGATCCTATCCAGAGCTGTGACTAATCATTGGATTATGCACAGTAGATTAAAGGCATGTAACCTTAAGGGTTAATAAAATATAAAGTCACAAGACAGGCAGAGTGAGGAAATTAATTTTCATAGTAAATTGTCCTTCCTAAAATTAATAACCTGTTTATTAAGATTGTATCTCCTTCATAATTTGACTTTTTGAAACAGGGACTCTACAAAGCCCAGCCTGAACTGGAACTAGCTACATAGAGTCACCTCTGCCTCCAAAATGTTGGGACTAATTGCATGTGCCACTGGGCCTGGCTCCTTCATAGTTTGTCATTCCTATAAAATAGAAATTCCTATGCCTTACACACTTAGAAGTGTACTGAACTGAATGCACGACACACTAGAGAACTGTTACTCTTGGTCTAAAGGTGTCTAAGACACAGGCTCACCTTCACAGGCAAACACTCCAGCAGAACAAATAATGTTGGTTCACAAACCACCACCATAACTCGGGTAGCATGAACCAGGCTCCATTCAAATGCAATAGCAAAAGGTAGAGAAGGGTCAGAGGTCAGCTGTGACAGTAAGGGTGGCATACAAAAGAGAGTGGCATTTGAACTGAGTCCTGACTCAGTTAGGAGGGCATACAAACTCAAAAAGCAACCCTGCTCATCCTTCCCAGGAACCATTCACTTTCTGCCAAACATTTGTCTATAATTAGAAATGGTAGAGACATAGAGTAGTAAAGGCTAACCAGAGAGAAAGACAGTCTGCATGTAGAAGATGATCTTCCTTTAGCCCTGGCTAGGAAGACATGCTGAATCATTGGATCCATTCAAACATGCACTGAAGGGCAAACCGAAAGGAATTTCTACACAAACTGAAAACTTCCAGAAAACATTTCAGCAACTGTGGCAGGATGGTGCCTATGACACATTCTTTTGCTTAAAACTGATCCCCTATTAGGTATGTGTGGCAATTACCAAGTTGGCTGGAAGGGTCCAAGGACAGGAAGGAAGACATGAGTGGTCCATGGTGGGGGAATCAGCCTGTGCCCACCAGCCCTCCCGCCATTATACATCCTTCAGAGTCTCTCAAACGTTCCACACTTACCACTTCCCAGATTGGCGTCAACATTCACACCCTCTCCTGTGTTTTACAGTTCACCAAGTAACACACTGGAAACTTTTGAGTCCTCCTTGATTCCATCTTCTTCACACTCCTCCATAACAGCTACTTTTTGAGAGTGAGCCAGCCCCCCAGCTAAGTGCTCTATAAATACGTTCTCATTTAATCCTTACTTAAAATTCCTACGAGGTAGAGCTCTCAGCTGCCTCTCACCAAAATGAAGTTGTACTTGGAGAAGATCCTCACCAAACCCTGTCCCACCACTGCCTTCATGCTGTGACTCCCCAAAACTGGTTTAGAATTACACATATCCTTGCTATTCTTTTTGCTGCCACCACTACTTAAGACCACATCTATCTTCACCGTGTGGGCTATAGAGTCCAGCTCTGAACCTCAAATAGTTATTCCTTAAATTGCCAAAGAGGAAGTTTCAAAATTAGCTCCAAACCTCAAATGCCTGCATGTGCCAGGCGTTTGCCCTGGAGGAGGTGAGCATGTGCTTCTTCCATCCGGGTCACTTCTTAGCAAGCTCTAGCCCACAGGTTCCCAGAAGCAAGGCCAAGTGACATCCACGTTTCCTGCGAAACGCTGACAATTTCAAAAGCAAGCTCAAACACCCTGACCAGAAAGAAACCCACCTACATGTTAGGTTTGACTCATCAGCACTAGCTGATAGGATCTAAAATAGTATGCAATCTCCTTGTTTAAAATCTTCACCGTGGTCCTTTAGTACCTTGTGGTCAAGGCTAATCTATTTAAGATGGCATCAAAGACTCCCAGAGACATTCCTTCTCTTGTCAGACATCCTTCAAACACCCATCCCACTGCTGAACTAGGGTCCACACATTTCCTGGAATGTGCTCATTCTGGCTTCTGAGGTTTTCGTGCAGTTTCCTGTCTTCTAAGAGTGCCCTTCACTTAACTTATCCATCACAATTTAGCTGTGTCCTCACAGTCCACCATCCCTGGTTGATGGCACCACCCACGGAGAGGCACACTCCAGTATCCATCACCAAAACCATCCCATTTCAATGCATCTCTCTCATCCAGTGCTATGTGGACCTTAAGCACTGACGCTGAGTGGGATGAAGGCACTGAAGCTGAGATGTCTGCACTGGTGCACTCCAGATCAAGCACATCGTTCTACTCAACACGTCATCTTTTGGACAGATTAATCCACTGAACACCATGGAGCCTATACATTTACCATTGCTCCTACTCAGCAGGAGAGATTCTTCCCCTGAACTTCCTCAATTCTTCTGAAGTTATTTATTTATTATTATGGGGGAGGGGAGACACACACGTGAGGGCGTGAGTGCCATGGTATGTGTGTGGAGTAGGTTCCTTCCCATCTACCTTTATAAAGGTTTGGGGAATTGAACCCAGGTCACCTGGCCATGGAGCATTTGCTCAGTGAGCCATCTTTTTTGCCCATCCTCTACACATTATCCCTAACTTCTTCCTGTGTTAGAATTATAGAAGGAACAAAGAGCAACCATCTTATCTGTCTGAGCTCCTTCACAACCGAGGCCTTTGCTCCTCCTTGTGCTTTCCTAGCTCCTAACTTCACGTCCTAGTAAATCATAGTAACTGTAAACGCTAAGGTTCATAGTTCAACACTATTTTCTTCTAGTTTGTTTTCCTAAGTGCAAGCACTGTGAGCTAGCCAAAACTGTTCCACTGAGGGGCTTTAGAAAAGACATTATTTGAAGCATGGGAAAGAAGTGGTGCCAACCAAAGACAGCACAAAAGGTTTTATTTTAGCACCAAACAACTAGGAAAACTTCCTACTTCCAGTTAATTCTTAGCTGCAAAAGATGGACATGGGAAATGAAAGGCAATTTAAACACGGTATACTCTTTATTCTACAATGCAGGGAAACACAGCTCCCAGCTCTGTGATCTCCATGTAAACCAACACATGCATCAAGAACTGTTTAAATGTCAGTTGACATAACAATATGGATGGAGGAAATATCTCGGGCACCACCCCTAGATGAAAAGCTGCAGGCAAATAAGGACTACTGAGAGAGGGAGAATTAGACTTCCCCAGGAAGAAGTCCCCTAAATGGTTATCCAATATAACCAACTCCTGAGTGATCAGTCTTAAGAAAACCATATACATACAAGCAACACTATATGGACTCAGTAGGTTGCATCTATATACTTATTTGCATATAACAATAATTAAAGAAAAAGGACCATCAATATGAGAGGGGGTAGATGAGAGAGGTTGGAGAGGGACAGAATAATGTAATTATATCATAATTAAAAATTTTTAAAGAGGAGTTATTCTAGAATGCTGGATCTGGTAGTCTACACTTGTGATCTCAGAAATTGGGAGGCCCAGACAGGAAGATTCAGAATTGTATGTCAGTCTAGAGTACATAGTGAGTCTGTCTGAAGCTGACCTGGGGGTACATAGATAGAGATACCTGATGGGTAGGGGAGAGAGAGAGGGGAGAGAGAGAGGGAGAGAGGGAGAGAGAGAGAGAGAGAGAGAGAGAGAGAGAGAGAGAGAGAGAGAGAGAGAGAGAGAGAGAGAGAGAGAGAGAGAGAGATTGTTTTGTAGGCAGCATTCTACTCAGGGCCAGAAACCCACCCCCCAAAATTTTGACTTCTCACCAAATGTTCTTGAAATCCTACCTGTAAAATGTCTCCAGTGTCATGGGATGGCATCTTTCAGCAACCACCTTGTGTTACCTCCTTAGAACCAACTGCACGTTTTAATTTTGTGTTATCTTACCCCACTTGCTCACTAAAATGGTGAAAGTCTTGCTAAATGACCTTACTCACTGTGCAGATGTTTTAACCAAGGAATACTTTTGCATCAAAGCATCAGGCTGAGGATATGGTCAATAAATATCCAGTTTGTTATTTGACACAGTAAAAATATTTCTTACCTGAATTTTTCCATGGAGAACTAATGAACATGAAACACAATTCCCACAGATTAGTAATGGGTTGATGTTAGTAATTTGGTGAACTTTGTTTTTCTAGATTTTCGTCTTTACACGTTAAAATTTAAACTGCTCTTTAGGTTAGAATGGAGGTCAGTTTATTAGATTTGTAAAAACAAGAGGGAGAAATAGAAGCTGAGTGAAGAGGGAAGAGTTTAATCTAAGGACTTAGTTAAAGTTAGCTTAAAATAACTAAAAGCAGAAAAAGAAAAAAATCATCTCTGTGGAATAGTTTCCCCCAAATAAGCTACTCAAAATCAAATAATGGTAAGTCTTGTAGCTTTATAAAGTATTGTTCAGATGTTATGGCTTTCAAGACAAATATTAGCCAAAATTATGTCAAGAAATATGTTCATCTAACCTTTGAGCTGGCACCTTATTCTTGCTAGTCTCTGCCTTAAGACGTAGAAAGCTGCAAAACAAATGGCCAAAAAAAGAAATTCCAGATCTTTTCTCTGTAAGAAGGCAGGGCTCGGGTATGACCAACTTGTTACATTCCCGGAGACTTACACACATTCAACTTTCAGTGCTTTTCTGAAACAAACAAAAAAATATCTAGGACATGTTTAAAATAGTAGTATTTTAGTCATCATCTTTTTATTAGAAAACATTTGTAACAAAAATATTATGCAATAATTGAAGTTATGCTATTCTGCTATAGTCCAAATTCTTTTTAAACCATTTTTGGTGTGTGTGTGTGTGTGTGTGTGTGTGTCTGTGTCTGTGTGCGCACGCACGCATGCATGTATGAGCATGTACAGGTGCATGTGTGCCAGAGTGTATATATGGAGACCAGAAGACAACTTATCGGAGTTGGTTCTCTCCTTTGGTCATGTTGGTCCTGGGGCTCCCACTCAGGTTCTCAGGGCTGGCAGCAAGCATCTGTACCCAGTGAGCCACCTTGACGACCATCATGATGGCTACCTATAATTCAATTTCTAATAAAATCTTTCAGAGCTTTTTTTGATGCTGTATCTTTCAATATTTCGTTATCAAAACACTATTGGTTCCTAGAGTCAGCATCCTTTTATTTGAATGAATGTTGGACAAAGCACCTGAATTTTTTTTAAAACTTTGGCTCAATCGGCACCCAGGACTGGCAGCTCTTACACTGGTAGCTACCCACTTACCTTCTTCTCACACACTGTGTGCTCCCTTTCCTCTGCAGCTTTGGGAAGGACATATGGACGTTTGCTTTCTTCCCTTTCACACCACTGTCTTCTTGCATGGATGCTTTGGTTGTCAATAGCAACAAGAATTAACTGTGAAACCTCAGCCACTTCTCGTGGAGATGCATAAATATCCCCACTAAATGAAAGTATGGGGAAGAAACCCAAAACATTTCAGACAATGTCAGTGTTGGACCAGCTCAGAGTCCAAGGGGTGAGAGAAGAGATGGATTATCACTTCTCTTTAGGATGAATGCCTTCCCTTTTTAAAATACAAAACATCCACTTTAATTATAACCCTTTTATGTATTTGTCTAATTTATTAGAGTCTTTTTTGGAGTGACAGTGAAGAATTTCTAGGTCTGACTTGACTCAATCAGAGCAATAATTTTAACTGTTCATCCAGAATGATTCCACAGTATTATTAAAGGCAAATATTACATTTGCTTGCCAAAATTTTTGTTTTGTTGTTTATGTGTGATGTGATTTGTGTGCAGGCATGTGTGCATGAGTGTGTGTGTGTGTGTATGTTGCATGCATGTTGCATGCATGTGTGTGTGTGCCCGTATGGGCATGTGCAGAGGTTGGGAGAAGACACGCGGCAGCTTCCTCTACCGTCCTCTGCCTTATTCTTGCATGGAGACAGGGTCTCTTACTGAACTAGAAGCTGATCCTTTGGGCTAGGCTGGCTGCCAGCAAGCTCCCTCCTGGCATCTGCTTGCATCTGCCTCCTAATGCTGTAGTTAGAGGAATATGCTGGCACGCATGCTTTTTTATACGGGTGCTGGGGATTCAAACTCAGGTCCTCATGATCCACTGATCTATCTTACAGCTTTTGTTTGCTAGAATTCTAAATCATATTGGTTATGTCTATAATTTGTACTTTGTTTCTATTGGCTTTAGTTTCATAATAATTCACCATATCTTGATGGTGATGCATTTATTTAAATGGAATAATGAAATGCATCAAGTCTCATTTAAGAAAACACTGAAAATAAATCAAAGCATAAAGAACATTGTAGATGGCATATGTACAAGATGTGTTTATGGCCATGATTATGCATAAGAAATAAGAATACTATCTCTTTAATACATTCCATAACCAGTTTTGATATTTTATCAGGAAAATATTTTAAATTATGCTAAACAAAGGAAAAAGATGTCATTACAGGATAGAGAACATTATTATTTTCAATCTAGCTCTCCACACAGACCAACAGTGCATTTCCTTATAATATCTTAAAATTGGGTCACTTTTTAAAAATTAACATGAGTTAGCCTGGACAAACTAGATTTAGTGAATTTATTGGTGTAAGCATGCATACTTCTTAAAGCATCTATCTAGCTTAAAACTCAACCAATGTTCCACATTCTAAAATTTAGATTTTAAAACATATACAAAACTTATTTTTAAGTTAAAGGACTATTAAACATGAAATATGGCCAGGTGGTGGTGACCCGCACCTTTAATCCTAGCAGTCAGGAGGCAGAGGCAGGTGGATCTCTGTGAGTTCAAGGCCAGCCTGGTCTACAAAGTGAATTCTAGGGCAGGTTCCAAAAACCCTATCTTAAAAAACCAAAAACCAAACCAAACCAAAAATCATGAAACAGAAGGCTTCCAGAAAGTTTCTGGGGTCTATTTTCTATTGATGGATAAGGACATTTTCCTAGGAACCTACAGAACAATTTGAAAAGTTGCCTAAAATAAACACCCTGTATGTGCTTTGTATCTTATGTAGTGTAAGAAGCCCCAGGATGGATTCATTAAGAGCATATAACGCAGCAAAATGTGCCCCACTTTCTTCTAATAATTTCTTTCTCCACAGCTATTGTAAATGGTCATGAGAGTTAAGCACATTCAACATTGTCAGCAAAGTCAATGATTTTTAGTTCGGGACTCTAGACCAGTGGCTTGCAACCTGTCCCAAAAGACTGACTGCTACAGTTCACCTGAGACTTCTCACTCACAATACACTGTTTTTCTATATACCTTAAAATTAATAAGTACAGTGATAAGTTTATGAAATTGTGACAAACCAAATAAAGTGAACTATTCAGTGATTAGCTTTCCTGCTGACATAGCCTGGTGAACATGGAGACATCCCTGAGCTTCGGACAATGCTACAGGAAATGAGGGGAGATGTACTTCTGCTGTACAGTGTATGTGCCTAACGTGTGTGAGCCCTGAGCTTGCTCTCTAGCAATGGAAGACAATCTTTACAGCCGCGTGATTGGGAGTGTCCTTCTGTATATATGTTTCTCTTATTGGTTATGAATAAAACACTGTTTGGCCAATATCCAATAGAGGCAGGAAGGTAACTGTGACTGGAGGTGAGGAGACTTCTGGGAAAGGTAGGCAGAGGGTGCCCTCGAGAAGGACTCCATGTGGAGACCGGGGGATAGGACGTGCCAGGCATTCTCTGGTTAGATAAGGCCATGTAGAAATACAAAGGTTAGTAGGTATGGATTAAAAATTAAGAAGGAGCTAGCCAATAAGAAGCCCTAGCCATCGGCCAACAGTTTAATAATAAAGTGTTCGTGTGTTTATTTGGGGCTGAGAAGGGCAACAGGATCTGGCAGGACAAGAAAACTATAGCAACAGTCGCGTGTGGTGGCATGCAGTTGTAGTAGCCATGTTCAAGAGGCAGAGGCAGAAGAAGCACAAGTATGAGGGCAGCCTGGACTGCATGGTGGGAACTATAAGGGTTAGGAGGAAAATCAGTGAGGAAAAGTCAGACAAGGGCTAAGAACACAGTAAGTTAGTAACCACAAGTACCCATGGTGCCCACCTTCTTGTTTCCAGATAAAGTTACTGTAAAGGATCGTGAGATGCCCAATGGTTAGGCCATTTAAAACCTTTGGGTAGGAAACTTATGGCTGTCACAATTACCACATGAGCTAGACTGAGGCACAGAGTGCCTTCAAAATGGGGCCCAGCAGGTCAGGGGCCAAGTCCTCACTAGGACAAAAGTGATGGAAGAGTATGAGAGGGAAAGGAACAATGTCCTATCCGACAAATTCTCACCATCAGCTACCAAAGCTAGTAGGCCTAGAAAGTTCTCCATATCCCAACCTTGAATTCTATAGTTTTCATTGTTAAAAACTTGGCCTTCATCTGGGCTCTTCACAGTCAGCTACCCAGCTTGGCACAGTCACACACAAACATCCATGATGACAGATAGCAGAACACAGGCATGTAAGAACCCAGAAGCCCAGCTTTTGATGTTCCTTCATGACTACTAAAGATGGAGAGCTCATTAGCACAGAGAACAGGGCAGTTAGCAAATCTATACATTACTTCTTAGTAATTTTATACATTCTTTGCTCTAAAAAACCGTTTCAAAACCCAGTTATATGTATTATTCATTTATTTAGGGGTTTTGAGACAGGGTTTCTATGTGTAAATAGCTCTATCTGTCCTGGAGCTTGCTTTGTAGACCAGGCTGGCCTCAGATTCACAAATATCTTCCTGCCTCTGCCTACCTATGCTTCCCAAGTTCTGGGATTAAAGGCATTCACCACCATGCCGGGCTTCAAAACCCAATTTTAAATGAAAAGTGAAACTATATATCAGAATCTTAAATTCCTAGCCATATATAAATAGATACCAAGACATAGTGAGTAGTTTAATTCATCAGCAAATTTTAAACAGAATCTGAAAAAATAACAACTCAAAATACCACATAACAGAAAATGTAATATTCAGTAAAAAATATTAACTGCCATAGTATATGTCAAAATAGGAGACACTAAAGACTGTTGGGTTGGAGGAATGGCTTGGTGATCAAGAACACATACTGCTCTTGCAGAGGACCTGGCTGGTTCCCAGCATTCACACTGAGTTGCTCACAACCACCTGCAATTGTAGCTCTAGGGGATCCAATACCTTCTTCTAGCCATTGCAGGAGCCTGCACTCATGTGTATGGACCTACTACCCTCCCCCATCCCTCCCCCCAATTCTCTCTCTCTCTCTCTCTCTCTCTCTCTCTCTCTCTCTCTCTCTCTCTCTCTCTCACACACACACACACACACACACACACACACACACACGTATGTGTATATATGTATTAAAAAAAGGAGCCTGGAGAGACAGCTCAGCGATTAAGAGCAGTGGCAGCTGTTAGAGGACCCAGGCTTAATTCTCAGCACTCACATGACAGCTAGCAACCTTTTGTAACTCTAGTTCCAGGGTATCTGTGCCCTCTTCTTGTCATCAGGCACGGATATGCTGCCTAGGCATACATGCAGGCAAAACACACACACACACACACACACACACACACACACACACACACGTATGTGTATATATGTATATACATATACATATATCTAATTTTAAAAAAGAAAATCTAGCCAGGTGGTGGTGGTGCATGCCTTTAATCCCAGCGCTCGGGAGGCAGAGGCAGGTGGATCTCTGTGAGTTTGAGGCCAGCCTGGTCTACAAGAGCTAGTTCCAGAACAGGCTCCAAAGCCACAGAGAAATCTTGTCCTGAAAAACAACAACAACAACAAAAAAAGAAAATCTATAAAAGAATATAATGTTGGGTGGATAGAGAGGCAGGAATACCATGAGAGAAATTGGGGGAGGAAAAACCATGATCAAAAATGTATTATATGAAAAAAAGTTTTTCAATTAAATAAAAAGTAAAGAAAAGGGAAATCTATGTACAGTGGTTACTGTCAACTTCACAATGTGTACCTTTTACCCCTTATGGAATTCATTGAAACTGAATTCATCATTTATGAAAATAAGACTAAAAGTTGTTGGTTTGTGGTTGATTTTGTTTTGGTTTTGTTTTAACAGGATCTCACTGTATATTTCTGCGTGTCCTGGAGCTCACTCTTCAGACCAGAGGGGCCTTGAACTCATGGAAATATGCCTGCCTCTGCCTCTGAAGGACTAGGATCAAAGACATGCACCACCAGGAGTGGAAGAATAACCCTGGATTTCACAAAGTGCATATTAGTCTAGATTTTCTTCTCCCTTTTGTTCGTACTTGCACAATTTTAGTGAAATAGCTGTTAATATTACAGAGTCCTCGAATGACCTCTGTGAAAGGCAACCCTGATAAACCCCAGGGTCTGGTCATGTTTTACCAGGAAAATAGCCTGTTCTGGGGAATTTATGTCATTACTCCATAGAGTGGTTAGAAAGATACTGGCCAAATGAAGTATTCAGCTTTATATTTTACCAGCAAAATCATCTGTATCAAATCCTTCGTCACAAATCTTAATTTCACAGAGTATAGATCCTACCAATACTGGCCCTGACTTTTAGTATTAAAGCTACATTGTAAAGTGAGGATTTCTGATAAAACAGAGACATACATTTGTTCTCCACAATCATCTACCACATTCCAAAGTCAAAAACAATTCTGATATTTGTATCTATCGTCCTCCACCAAAATTACACTGATGTAGTAGTTTTATCAGGATAAATTAAAACTGAAACCCTGTATTAAAAACTATGAAATTATATGGAATGAACAAACCATACACCATAATAACTCATCTGGGCTGTACTATACTCCCTATCGTGGTTTATATAGGACTTTATTATGACTATAATTGTCTCTTTAATTATGTATTAATAATAATAAGTAAGAGAATCAAAAAAATCTATAATGATGCTGGTATACATTAAAGTAGAAAATTATATTTGGTATTACTTAACCAAACACTATAGCTTATAACATGCAATTTTTAAGTGAGTACAATTATTTTACTTCTTGTCCCAACATGTTCCTAGGGAATCACTAACAACCACTTTAGACCACTGATTTCTTCCCTAAGCTAAGCGATCTTGGCTATCCTCTACTTTTTGAAGGCAGATCTTTCACTTGTTTTCATTAAGTAGAAAATGCTAACTCCTCCGTTCTCTGGGGCTGTTCAAGGTGACTGGATTGCTGCTTGTGTCGGTGTCTAGGGAGTGGGCATCTCTGCCTCTCCTAGTGACCTTCCAGAGCATATACCATCCTTTTCTGATCATTTGGACTTCTGTGATGGTTTTCAGAGAGGAGGGAGGAGTGAAGAAGGGGGAGACGGAACAGCAGAGGAAGGGAGGGACCAAGAGAAATTCTATAGGGCATACATGAAGCCTGATTTCAGGTCCCATTGCCAAAAGAACTTGGCGAGGAGTCCATGCGAATCAGCACTTCCTCACGCTGCAGTGAAAAGCAAAGACTTAAGTTTGGGTTCCAGCCCATCATGTGTATTGTACTTTCTTCATGCTCTGTTTCTAGTCTACTCAGGCCTAAGTGGCTTACATAGAGCAGCCCTCTGTGAGGTCCAGACAGATCAGGAAATCAAGTAGGCATCATGTGGGCTCCTCTATACACATATATAAGGCTTTGAAGAGATGAACATAGCCAAGAAATCAGCATTGTTGCTGGGTTCACTGACCATTAACCACACAATAGTGTAAGAAGGGTAAATGGTGCCTGGATATGATATCTGTGTTTGTCTCTGTCCCCCAAACCATACTCTCCAGGGGCGTGATAGGTGCATAGTAAGATGGTGGGGAGTTAATGTGGTGATACCTAATGGGAATAAATTAACGTAAGAATTTCCCACTGGTTTCTATGCAGACCTAATTATAGAGGAGCCCGCTGATTGCCTACATATACTCTAATCACAATGCTTGCCATCTCCTCTCTGCCTCTCATGTCTTACTTAAACATTCATTTCTTATTTTTAAAAAATATGAAAAAGATCTTGAAAAAGCACAATTTCCAAACAAGATGAAACATAAACAAATAGGATTAAGGAGATCAAGTCTATATTATCTTTTAAGGCATCAAAGGTACCAAAAGTAGAAAGTAACTGAGCAGAAAATGTCACTTTATAAAATCAGTCATAATTTATTCTCCTTTTAATTACATTTTATAAGGAAAAATACAGTAAAATTCAATCTCTCTGTATGTAGGAACAGGATGCCACTGTAGGATTCTTCCACATTTACTTGTACAGAGAAGTGAGGATGACACATGTCCAGCTAGTTATTGTAGTTGGTGTAACTTGTAAGAACGCAACATTGAAAACTACCTTGGTGCATGTGAGTAGGAGATTATTATTGTACATCTGTATGATAGCAAACCGCAAAGTCATTTAAAAGGCTGAGTCAGGTTTACATGAACCTGTAAGGACCTGTCTTTAAACACTTTTGTTAAGGTGCAAAAGAGTTTTAATTTATGCTGGTGTTACATGAAAGTGACAATCTTACAAATATTTAGACACTTCTGCAAAGATCAGTAAGGAACAAAGATTGACTACTTGGAACTAGAACTTAGTGTCAAAAACCAAAAAGGTAACAAATACTTACCACTATTGCAGCTCCAGGAGGCTCTCTCCCCCTCCTTTTCGCCCTCCACCCCTCCTTTTCATTTTTCTACTGAAATATGCGCTTCTTATTCTTTTAACAAAAGATGAGCTATGTAAATAACTTAGCCAGAATAGACAGCAGAAAATGCAAATCCATATCCCCAAAGTGCTAAAAAACATTTTCCTAAGAGCTTTGGTCTTTTGTTACAATGTGTCCCCAGACAGCATTCCACTCTGGCCTTCTACTCCTCCGTCTCGGATCGTGGATCCAGTAACTCAGCACACACCACAGACACAGACATACTGAATTAGGGCTGAAGCTGAAAGATAATAGAAGCAATTCCTTAAAGAGTGTGTGACTTCTAACAAGTAAAAGCAGACTCTACATTGGTGAAAAGTAGACAATCTGATGACTGCAAGTCAGAGGCAGATTTTGGCAAATGGACAAATTTCAGCCCATCCTGCCAACATCAGCCAATGTCAGCAGTCTAGGGAGAATTAGGAAATGAGGATCTGACTAACCAGAGGCTTCCTTGGAAGAGAGATGGGAGGAGAGCATCCTAATGTCAAGCAAGGAACAGGACCATTCTCTGGATTTAGTATCACCAAGTGGGAAGCATCTCTCCAAGTGACCAAAGCTAAGAATGTGTATGCCATTCGGGAATACACAAACATTTGTCTTTCCTACATAGCAGAATGCTGTAACTCAGCATTTTTCAGCATTATGCCCAAGGTTATTTCAGAAGCAGCATACAGATCCAGAACTAAAGGACTGGTTAATGAATTACAGGGCAGCTACACAATGAATCCATAAAAAGGGGACTTTTCATATACAGATGATAAGGAAATAGCTTTAAGATGTTCTGCTATGAAGGCATTGAGCAGTTTATCTACGTTCCTCTATTTGTATAGAGCAGTTAGGTTGCAAGAGAGACCGAGAAGGTACACAGAGAATCAGAAATATCTCTGCAAGGTATATAGGACCACCAATGACACCTATTTCTCTGAGGAGTGCTTATATCAGGAAATGAATGCATTTTCCTTTCTAAATAAATTGAGATTCTACAAAGAAAACGTTGGGAAAAATTTAAAAACCTATAAACAACTCAAAGGAAGGTCGTGCTCTCTCTGGCAGCACACATACTAAAATTGCAATGCTACAGAGCTCAGCATGGCCCCTGCCCAAGGTTGACACACCAATGACAAAGCGCTCCATATTTTTTGCATCGATTTCTGTACTGGTGTGAATCTGTAAACTCACAGCAGGTTTTGAATGAGGAAAAGAAGAGAAGAAAAGGCAAAGCTACCTCTGTGTGGTAGAGACCTTAATAAAGGTTAGGTCAGCAGACTCTGCTTCCTCCCCTCCCCCACCCCTTCACAGTTCCGATCCAATCTCTGCATTGAATACCATCCCTTAGCTGTTGTGGGATCCATATGGAGTGGGTCAACATTGCCCGCTATCTTCTCGAAAGCTGCTGGTCTGACTTGAACTACACAGAGCATGAATCCAGCAGATGGAGTATCAACTAGAAAGGCTGTGAGAACGCAGCACAGGAGGGTGTTGTTAAGGAAGCCCAGCTGCTGTGTGCAGAGGGTCAGGTTTCTGAGCTTGTGTGTTCCTGTGTCAGGGTGTGAGGGAGCAGGCCAGCCACTAACTCTCAAGAGCCTCCAGTGCTTCCCTTTGTACTAGCCTGACCCTTCAACCTGAGAAGGACTAAAACTTCTAATCCGTAAAGGTTAAGAGCTGCCCAAATTAACTGTAGGAAGGAGCTTGGGAAATCAGTGGCTCTTAATAGAATTATTGCAAAGACCAGTTCTAATCGTGGAAAGAAAGGAAAGAGCAAAATCATTTCTTTACAGCTTCCCTTTGAAGACTACACACACTCAAAAGCTACCTCTTTGAAAAGGTCAAGATTCTTCAACACTACTTTGTGCTTGGAATCTGCATTCCTAGACCACTCAGAGTCACTCAAGGAACATGGTGTTCTTAAACAGCCTTTCCAGGGAAGTGGTCGTTGAATAACCTTTGTTAGAAAACAACATGAAGCCCAACTTCACTTCCTAAGGATTTGGGAATTCTGGTTTGGTGACAAAAGTAATTCTAAAGTTATTCGTTCCTTGCTTTTTTTTTTTTTTCCTACTTTAAAAACAAACAGAAGAGAGTCTCTGTTCTAACCCCATAATTAGGAGAGGAAGCTAATGAACTCAGGACAATGGGTTTGTTTGGATCCTTTAAGCTGACCATTGCTGCGGGACAGCAGCCTCTAATACGGCTCCAGACAGCACCTCTACCCAGATTCCCAGTTATTCCTGGACATACACAATTGTACAGTTATGAATAAGTATTAATATAAGACATAATCCATGCTCAACAAAAGTGATTTTGCTTGTCAGTTACCTGTGGAAAATTGTTTGCTAGGAATAGCCTCTGCAAGGGGAACAATACGTGTGACTTTCCAAGATGACTTCCTTTGAGGACTAGGTGCAGCTGCTCTCTGTAGAGAACTTGCCCGGCATGTGCAAGCCCCAGGCTCTTACCCTCAGGGCCGAAAGAAGAGTTCCTAATGTGCTCGTAATTATTTTAAAGAGGGCATTCAAACCTAAATTACCAAAGACACAGTTTATGAAGTAGTGTGAATGTGGGTAACGCCTGCCGTGCAAGGATCAAAAGTCAATAAATCATCTCTGTCGGCAAGACTCCGTTTCTGAGCAAGCAATGGTAAAATGGAAGTATCTCGTTTACTGTAAGAAAGCTCTGTGCCTTGATCAAACAGCCTCTATTTGAAAAGCAGAAACAATCCAGTACTGTGCTGACCATTCCTCCCTATGGCCACAACCACCAGCAAGTAGCATACACTGTCCAGCTCCAATAATCAGATAACTACAAAACAGTTCCAGAAGGAATTGCTATTCCACAGTCCCTTCTTTGTTAACCTTAAGTTTAGAGCTGATGAGTCTGAAATCTTCAGGTGGGCTCTGTCCGGCTGCAGCCTTAACTAACTTAAGAGACACGACAGGAGGAATGAGATCTGAGCTAACAGAACAGTCTGTCTGTGGGTGTAAGAGCTCACTTTCCCGACTCTCCAGAGGAAACATAACAGATATCTGCATTTGCCCTGCTCTTAAGGATAAAGGCTACCGTCTTAATTCACATCATTTCCTTCAGTTCCCTGACAGCCAAAGAACTCTAAGCTGAAGCCTGGATTGAGCTGTACTTTGAATTTCCCTTTGCATCTCCAGAAAGTGCTTTCAACAAAAATATGATTGTCATTAAGCCGTAAGTCCAATCTGGTCTCCATGACAAAGGAGAAAATCGTAGAGCTTAGTGCCAAACTCTGTTCTTTTTCACCAGACAAATTCTCCGGTTGACTCTGCAGGAAGCCAGGTGGCTAAGCAGGTACAAACGTGGGGTTGGGGGAGCTCATCCCAAACCCCTGTTATCGAGTTCTTTTACTTGTTTGTGAAGTGAACCACAGGAATCTCAACTCGGCCGGGGGAGAGAGAAAATTCACATAATTAATAGGAAATGTGCCATTGAGATGAGGGTAGAGCTAAAGAAGAGAAAAATCACAAGCCAGAAACAAATATGTTGTGACAATATGTGAGAGACTAAGGTACTGTGTGCTGCAAATTTGTAGCCATCAACAGGTAAGCATAAGAGAATTCCATCTTAAAATAAAGAGCCCCATTAATATTCAATAAATTTAAAGCCCAAGACAATTAGAAAATCAAATGTGGAATTTTCAGTGTGCAAGAGATCTATTTATGAGCCAAGAACACAAAACAAAGAGTCAAAGAATAGAAAGACACCAAGGGTCTGACCCAAAACAAAGCTATGAAAACACAGCCTGCCTATTTCTGGAAACTGCCATGCCTTTCCAGCATGGCAGGAATGCTGGGATTGGCCTCTGGGTGCACAGGCAGGACATATGAGGACAGACCCGTGCCCACTGGGCTACTCCTCCACTCTGTCTTTCGGTAGCCCTGGAGAAAAAGATGAAAGTCCCTGAGATAAATGCGGCTGTGTAACTAATGGTGGCAAGCCAGAGGGGCAATCACACAATCCCATGACTGCAGTCTCTCTAAACAGGAAAAGGAAGGCAAGTGGGGGTGAGATGGAGAAGGTTTTGTGTAGATGTCTGACTCAGGTGACCGTTGGGTCACGAATGTTCAACCCAGTGGCATAGATACTCACCGAAGGGTCTCTGCACAAAGGTCACAAAATCCAATAGACAACATAACGTGGGCACGGCTTTCCCCACGAACACATATACGCAGAGACAAACTTAAGGGCACTGTGTAACAGGTGGTGGCAGCCAGCGTTTGCTTTGCTGTGCTGTTTGGAAGGAAAATCCCAGAGTGAGCCTTTCAAAGGAGAACCATGGCACCTCTGATATGCAAGTGACGTGGAAAAGGACACTCAGACTGTTGAAGGGCCAGAGAGCCAAAAATATTGTTCGCATTGTATGCTTAGAACCAGGTTAGGAATCACACGGGTAGCCGACTACCCAATGTAACTCAAGGCGTTTCCCTTGAGTTGAATGCAAAACTTCGAGTTTCGTAAAGGCATTGACAGCAGTCAGGAGAGTTTAGATACTTTCTTCATCCCACAAGTCACCTTTTGGTGCGGTTCCACTCACTCCTTTGAGCTGACCTCTTGCCCTCACATTCCTCTACCTTAGATCAAAACAAAGGCAGGCAGACCTGAGCTGATAGGAGCCATTTGGACCATCTAAGAAACTGCAAAAGGAAAACAGACAAAAGACTACTTCTACCCCTCAGTTCATCTTCACAAGCTCACCATCTTCAGTGGCTAAGGCCCCTTTCAATGCAAAGGAACTTCATTTCATTGAAACGGAGAACCTCGGAACCATTTTTATTCTGGCCAGGAGTGATACAAAGATCGTATTTTTCCAGAGTTGATAGCACGTATTAACTATTCCTGCACTCTGCAGGGCTGTAGTCATCACGAACCCTGAACACGACCAGGTACAACTGTAGCCTTTGCTGAGGCCAGGAGGGATTTCAGTGCTTTACAAAAGCTAGCTCATTTCAGGGTTGCGTGTCGGTGAGGTGCGTAATATTCCAGATTGATTTCAGAGACGAAGAAAATGGAGGAAGCACAGGAATGATGAATTATTCAGCCAAGGTCACACAGCCAAGAAGGCCAAACTGGAATTTAAAACCAGGCTGTCTAGAACCAAAGTCTGTGTTGCCCACGGTTATGCCGGCTCCTGAGGTGTGCGAAAGACAGTCTTATACACATTGTGACGTGACCATTTTAATCTCCACTTTCTACATTGCAATTTCCTCACTGTCTGGAATAACAAAGGGGAAAGAGAAATACTGCATGGCCCACTTGCATTCTCTTAGAAACAAAAGGAAGGTTTGAAAATGGCAGTGTCTCCAATCCAGTAGGAAATGCACAGGAGAAAGAAAAAGTCTTGGAAAGATCTTGGATGGTTACATTTCATAACACCACTGCAACTTTAAAAGGCCTCTCTACTTGTTCAGATTTACATTTGCCAAGCTGGTGCATACTTAAGAAATTTTAATTACTTGGTACAGAAAAATAGAACAGTTCCTAGTGTTGCTGGGGGAATTCCACAGCAAGACCTCTTGAGAGAGCTCAGGAGTTTGCACCCTAGAGTTCTTTCAACACACCTGGCATCGAACCTACATTCTCCTAATCCCTGTCTCCAGGGCAGGTGTGAAGGTGTGCCCCATTGCTGCACAGGGCATTCTGCCAGGGCATGGCTCCTTAACCTGGGTGGTGCTGGGCAACTTCCTACAAAGAGACTGCCCCTGCTCTTATCTGGAATGGATTTGTTTCACTACTGGGCCAAGAGAGACGGTCCATCCTGTCATCAGCCTTCATACCTGACAGAGTCTGTCTGCCAGGATTCCTAACACTGTCATGTATTCGGCAGAAGACTACATCCTACCAAGGACCAGTGCTGTTCTGGACCAACTTCCTCTGAAGGAAGACTGACCAGTGAACGCAGGACTATGGTGTGGTCCTTTCATGTACTAGAAACCAGCAACTCCATCTCTCTTTAGCAGGAGGCAATGCCCCAAAGGAGCAAGAGGTCAGTGCTCGCAAGTCACAGGAAGCCAAACATTAGTCCTCTTCCCTTCCTTGTCCCCAAGCAGAGACAACAGCCTGAATATCCACTGACCAACCTGTGACAATCACGCTCCTTCCTCAACAAAGTTAAACATCCGAGTATTCTTTTTTTTTATAATTTTATTCATTGTTTGAGTTTTTTTTTGAGACAGGGTTTCTCTGTATTGTTTTGGAGGCTATCGGTCCAGCCCAGCCTCGAACTCACAGAGATCCGCCTGCCTCTGCCTCCCGAGTGCTGGGATTAAAGGCATGCGCCACCACCGCCCGGCTTAAACATCCGAGTATTCTTGATAACAGTTGATGGAACTCATCATCTTCCTGACTCCCTTTACTGCCAGTCAGTCCATATCTAGGCCACGGCCACAGCCTCACTGCCCTCCAACTTTCTCCATCCTCCTCCTCTATGATACCTCATGCCCGACAAGACGTCCCAGTGTGAAGCCCAGCTCAGTTCCCACCATCTTAACCAGACACGGTGCTCAAAAGATGCCTCAGAAAACTACTTGATCATTTGGGGTGGGATGTGTTTCTTTGTAGAGGGGAAGGAGAAAATAGGAAGATCAAGATAAATGTTTGAGATAAAGGTCTAAGTAAAATCTGAGAAATGTGCTAAATTACTCAAACTTTCGTTTAGTTCTAGGAACGTTATCATTCGAGTGTCTATTCTGATCATGAGTTAAATAGAAATCAGTGTTCTAATTTGGCATTTGCTACAGGACTGGTTAATTGTGGAATTTACAAATGATGTTTCCCATAACTCTATTGGTTGGCCCATGTAGATGTCAACACTTCTCTTCCTGAAAAAGAAAATGGCAAATGTGCCACCTTACACAATAGCTCTGGTGAAGATTTTATAGGTACTCTTGAGTTCCAGGTTTATTTAGTGTAAATATCGTCTAGACACATTATCTCACCTTCATCTCAGAGCTTGGAGCAAGGGAAGAAACAATCCTGATAAGAATCCTGTAGTGGAAGAAGCTGAGGACACAATCTAAATGGGTAACACAGGGCTGGAGAGATGGCTCAGTGGTTAAGAGCACTAGCTGCTCTTCCAGAGGACCTGGGTTCAATTCCAACACCCACAAAGTACACAGACATGCATGCAAGCCAAACACCCATACACATAAAATAATAAAATTAAAAAATGGCCAGATGGTAGGTGGCTCTGTGAGTGGTGAAGCTGGCACCACAACCCAGGTGCTTTCGGTTGGAAAGGGGCAGGATACGGATTTGAGTCAGATCTGCATAGCCAAGAGCTGCTCAGCAATGGCAAACCCTCCAGAGTGCAGAGTTGAGTCTAGAACCGTGGTGGAAAGACACACCCCCAGGACCCGGAGCCTCCAGACCTGTACTCACGTTGACACTGTCCCCAGGACTGTCGAGCCCAGCCCCAGCAGCAGTCAATCCTGCCACCATAACGACACAGGCCGATCGAAGAAACGATTTGCCTGGGCCACCTACCAAACAAACAAGAAAGTGTAAAATAAATACAGACACTTGAGATTTAAAATAGTTTTCTCTTTGTTTTATTTAGAAAATATACTTAGACCACACCCAACACTTTCCCACAAACCCCTTACTGTTGGTAGGAATCTGAGGGCAAGACACCTTCTCAGTAGAAGTTCTTCAATGATCTAATTCTAATTGTAAAGACACACACACACACACACACACACACACACACACACGGAGAGAGAGAGAGGGGGCACAGGAGTAGAGAAAAGAAACAGTGCCAGCTGAAACCAAACCTCAGGCCACCGTTCACAGGGTGGTTTCTGAAAGATTGAAATAAAACAGATGCCCCAGACTCACAGCTGTTGGAGTGGGGGGCAGGGGGACAGTTTTGACTAATGCACCATACCCTGATGCACCATACACTGAAAAGTGTTGAATAACAGAAGACCTGTCAGAGCAGAAAGAATTTCTGCTTAGTACAAACGGCAGATAAGGAAATGGGCAAGAAGAGGAGGTTATTCAAAACTCAAATGCAGCAAAACTCTTTTCCATACAACGGCCCCCTCCCATCACTGCCAAGTTATAAGAGAGGTCTAAACCCAAGGAATTTAAACTGTGGGGAAGGTATCAAGTGTCCTTGTGTTTTGCAAGCTGTCTGCATCAGCAATTCATAGTCTTTCCCTCTCTAATGGAAAGTATGCCCAAAGAGACTTAAAGCTTAAAATGCAGATCCCACACACCAGATAGCACTTCACACCCTGTTCAGAGTCCCACCTACCGTCCTGCTCCCGTACATCTAAACAGTGCTTCTTGTAAACATGTGTGCCCCAAAGTAATGCAACACGAATTCAAATGTAGGCCAAGAACTGATTTTGAAAATAAAAGCCTTAACCTCTGACTGCTTCCCACTTTTCCTTAAACTCTTTATCTTTTCAATTCATCTTCTCTTTACCCTCAGGCCCAAAGTACAAAATAATCCCTAACTTTCTATTTCCTCTGACCAGGTGGTGAACAAGGAGAGCGGCCGCTTTCTCTCTTCCGCCCTCCCCGGCTTCCCCTCCGGTGCCCTCCAGGGACAAGAAAGCCAATCAATCCTGGAATTGATTCGTCCCAAGATTGCAGGTAAAACAGGTGCGGTATCTTCAAGGCAGCAGAGGGACAAGCTCTGAGGGGTGGAGGCAGGGGTGGGCGGCGGTGCAAGCCACCGGTAAACCTGTCCAGCTGAGGCCTTCAGTGGGGACTGAGGGGGAGCGACCCTCAGGCAGAGCTGAGGATCTCGGAGGAGAACGCGGGCCACTGCACAGCCTCAGGAGGACATGCTGAGTGACAGCGGAGACCCAGCTCCAGGTTGTTGGGACCTGTCAGAGCACGCATCCATCAGGCTCGTCAGGTCTGAGCGGTGCCGCGTGGACACACACACACACACACACACACACACACACACACACACACACACACACACACACACAGCGTCCCTCTCAGTCCTCATGCTGAGCTCTTGTCCCCTCCAGAAACCAAGAGGGGAGCTCGCGGCTGCCCCTCGGTCCTGAGTGGCGTCCTCGCCGCCACCCTTTGTCGAGCCGCCACCTGGTCACCTGCAAGTTTCCTCCCCTCCGGACACAGTCCACCCTGAGCACTGGCCGGGGCTGCAGGGTCACCTGTGTCCCCGCGCCGACTCGCGCTCACAGCACACGGGACACGAGCCTGTGGCTCCCCAGCCCCGAGAGGGGCTGCGCGATCGGGGGTCCTCGCGGGGAAGGAGAGGGCTCCGGGGACCCGTCTCACCTCCCATCGAAGTCGGCAGCCGCCTGCAGGTAGAGCAAGGACGCGAGCACCGCCGCCAGGAGCACAGCCATGCTGGCGGGCCAGGGCGCGGGGCGCTCGGGGTTGCGGGAAGCTGTGCGTCCCGGGATCTCCCGGTTGCTTTCGGCGAGACACCCGCAGCTGCTGGGACTCACAGGGCGCGGCGCGCGGCGGGGCAAATCTGCGGCTGGCTGGCAGAGCCTCTCCGGCTCCCTCCCGGCGAGGGGAGGTGCTGCGGCGGGAGCCGCGCCGCCCGCGGGGAGGGGCGAGGCGGGAGGGACGCGCCGCACAGCCCGCCGCCCTCCCTGCCCTGCCGCCCTCGTGCCCTGGGCGCGCGCCGGGGCTCGCCCCTCCCCGGGCCCCAGCCGATGGGGCAGCTCAGGGGCGGGGACGCCGCTCGCCAGGAAGGTCTACCGCGAGTGGCGCTCGCCCGGGGCTGCGAGAAAAGTTGCGAGCACAGCCTGGGAGAGGGCGAGCTGGGTGACCAGCGGGAAGGGGTGAGCCCTGGGGAAGCTACGGGAGGCTGGGGCGGGGTGGAGGAGGGTGGAGGAGTGGGAGTGGCGCGGGGTGGGGGGGGGAGTACGCTCTCTGGGGCGTCCCCCAGACAGGTGGGCTGCAGGGGAGAACCCAAGCTTTCCGCACCAACTCGGGAGAGGTTCCTGGACTGATTAAGGAAGGCAGACTCGGAGATTGCTTCACGTGCAGAGCTGGCACAGCCATGTGCCTTTTTAACTGAAAAGGGGGTTTGGGGGCGGTGGTGGCGCATGCCTTTAATCCCAGCATTCGGGAGGCAGAGGCAGGCGGGTCTCTGTGAGTTCGAGGCCGGGCTCGACCGCCCTGTCTCGTAAAACCAAAACCAACAACAATAAAAGCAAACAAAAACAAAAATTTATCCTCCTAAACAATACAGAGAAACCCTGTCTCGAAAAAAACAAAAAGAAAAAAAGAAAAGAAAGAAAGAAAGAAAGAAAGAAAGAAAGAAAGAAAGAAAGAAAAGGGGATTTGGATCTCAGGTCCGGGTTCCTGTCTCCCGCAGCTCCACTCCTCTCTCTCCGTGGGTAGAGCAGGTGCCCCCCCCCGCAAGAGGAAGGTCTGTTACCACCTAGGCAGCTTGTGGTGGCTGGTCTTAAGGGGACCTCGGCAGAACCGTTTGAAGTACTTATTGCTCTATTGTTGCAGAGTAAAAAGCATTAAACCAAAGGACTGCTCAAGTGCAAATACACCCTAAAGTATATGTTTAAACTTAACTCATGCCTCTCCTCAAACCATACCGCAGTGGCTGTCCTGTCTCCTGTCTTCTCAGCCCATGGGTCTCTTGACCTTCTGGAACCATCTAGGCATGCCCTCACATTAAGGACATTGTCTGTACAGCTCACTGCCTCACAGCCTTTAGGAACCAAATAGGAACACTATCTAAAATGCTTATCTATTCCTCTGGTCTGGTGTTGTTTCCGCTATGCCTTTCCGCCATCCTGCTGCTCTTCTGTCTTACCTTGTTTATATGTCTTCTTTCTGCTACAAGAGTAGCTATCTTTGTTTAGTGCCTACAACACTGCCGGGCACACAGTAGATGCTTATAAATGTTGAAAGCATTTGCTACATTGCAAATGTCACTCCCTACTCATCTTTTTGAGGTTTCTGCTACTTCAAATTGTTAAAGCAAAGTTCTGAGGCAGGGTGGCTGCACTATCCTGATTTATCAGTGTGTGTAAAAACAGCCATTTTCTTCAAGAAAAGGAAAAATAATGGTTCCACCTTAAACGTCTCTTTGGTTTCCAAGTTGTTTTTTGTTGTTAAATCAAGTTTCTATTTTAATCTCAGAAAACACCCATGCCAGTTCGGGCTTGGGACATTGTTTTAGGCAAACATCTTGGTGTCATCCATTTCAGATGCTTCTAAGGGAGTCCAAAAATCTAAGAGTCAAAATAGTTTTTTTCTGCAGAAAATCAAACTTTTATAAATGTAGGCTTGCTTCCAGACCTACGGGCCACTCCTTAGTAGCTTTCATTGCTTATTGGCTGAGTGTTGGGCTCCTGAGTAACCTCCATTAACATAGTGGATATTCGAGTTAGCCCATGGGCTAGAAAATAAATTCAGAAGGGTGGAGATAAGATGGAGAGATCACATGCTCTGACATAGGAAAACATTCCATGTTCCTTCTTCACTTGAACCATCTCCAGTTACAGTTTTGAGTCCATGCTTAGCTGATAACCAAACGTGTATTTCTGATTTTTTTTTTTTTTTGGCTTGTCTCCTGTGGTATGGGCTTCTGTAATATTATATGTCTCCAAGAGTAGCTCTTGGTGAATGGTGTTGTAATTACCCCTCTGCCACTTTCAGTCTCTCCAGGCAATAGGAAGCCAAAGACAATATTTATCATGTCACTGCATCCCAGCTGCTCAGCACACTGTCTGGTATGAGGCAATAGGTTGCGTTGGGTTGACAGATATACTGCCTGGTGAACTTTAGCTTCTGCCTTGGGTAAGGGGTAATTATATCAGTCTGTTGAATTATGGCTTGAGGAGAGTGTACAGTATTTCTAAGGTGTATCTGGTCATTGTTTTAAAATTAATGAACATCAGCGATTTTTTAAAAAGCAGTGGAATTCCTACCACACTTCATTATCTCAATCATCTTTGTTTTTTCCAGTGTTAGAGAGCAACCCCAAGGTTTCCTGTGTGCTACGGGAGCATTCTACCGTTGAGCTGCATCTTCTGCTCCGCTCCGCTATTTCAGCCTTAAAACGCACAGCAAGAACGAGATCAAATATCTTGCTTTTAGTAATAACTGCACTTGACCAGTAGGACAAAGTGTAGGTTAGGTTTCCTAACACAAAGTGATACCTTAGAAGGAGTGTTTCCAATTTTCTCACATACAAGTTAATATCTGCATTAGTGGCGTGGTGGTAGAAAGTACTAATAACAACCAAATATCTAACTTCCAACGTTCAGAAATTACAAGTAACCAATTACTTAGTCCTTTTATTTCAACACATAATCATCCAGAGAACTACAGTCTCTTTTAGGTGCCAAGATTCCAGCTGGAGACAAGATCAAGCCCTGCCTGAGAGACTTTATATCTCAGTGAAGGAGCAGAGCAGGGGTGAGGTGCGGAGGAGAAGGGAAGGCTGAGGAGTGCGGTTTTAGTTGCATGGGTTTGGGAACCACTGGAGAGGTGGGTTTTGAACCTAGACTCAGGGAAGGCAAAGGTAGGTGTCCATCTCAAGGGCAGAGCAAGATGACGTCTCTTTCCTCCATCAAGGTCTGAAGTGGCTCCTGATAGCCAGTGTCACGGAAACCATTGAACAACCTACCAACCCCAGCTGCAGTGTGGGGCCACAGGCACGGGTCTACTGCCATGAAAAGGCCTGGGGAGAGGACACACGCAGCTGCTGTTACACAGTCATCTCCATCCCTGCTCGGTGGGAACCTGGTGGCTGTTGTGGCAATGGAGGGAGAGCCATGGTCAGGCAGTCTGGCCGGCTCGCTTCCAGTGGAAGATGCACTTGCCCGTAAGCACTCCTAACCACATCAGAGATTACTGTTGGCCTGTCTGTCCCTGTCACTCACAACTCCTTCAACCTCCACAGGTTTGAAGGCTTGAGCCTATGTTGCTCTAAGGAATTCAAAGAGACAGACGTTTCCAGGCCAGGCTCATGGTTTCTGTGGCGACTGGGCTTCTGTAAACCCCATCAGCTTGTGGTCCAGTCGCTCTCAGTCCATTTCTTGTTCAGAGAGCCACAGCTAACATCTGCTCTAGGCCTAGTCCCTAAGCTTTAGTTCTTTGCTTCCTCTACCCATACCTTCCTCTCTGGTCTTTACAAAGGCCTCCTTAAGGCCATCAGAAATAAAACAGCTGTTTGGGAGGACAATACCTTGACCATTCCTTTATCTCTATGAACATTTGGGGCAGAAAAATACCTCTTCGATATCGCAGCCCCTGAACATCTAGATAGCCCCATTTCCTTCTATTTCTGCATATAGACTTATATAGTTCTTAGCTGAACTTTCTTCCTACTAAAAGCAATAAGGAACAGAAAAACACACAAACAACCTCATTTTTTTACATCTGCTTGATACATCTGTACATTGATCTGGTGGAAGAGAGAATCTGCTCAGCAGAGATGCCATTTGGCCTCTGTACATGTGCAATGATGTGTGAATACATATAATATAGCAAAGTAGTTTAAAGACATTGATATCCAAACATGGTAGAAAAAACTTTTTCCCATGTGCATCTATCTCAGATATAAATATCAAAGCTAAAGGCCTGAAGAGTGGTGTTTAGCAAGTATAACCTAGGACATATCTAAAGAATCCATTCTAAGCAACTTAATATCAGTCTTATGCAGGTCCTAGTTAGCAAACTTCCCTCTCCTTCTGCAGGAGAATTTAACCTATGTTAACATCATAACTCCTTTCCCCTATCACTCAGAAAAGGTAGCATGTGACCTCTATAAGGTAATTATGTCCAGGCAGTTACATTTTGCACCTGAGCTCTGCTATTGTGTGAGCTGTTTGCTGGAGAGGAGCGCTACATGCCCCTGTGTGGGCCAAGTGTGGGCCCCATCCTTTACCCTTCAGAGAATGCAGGTGCCAGATGTGGTCACGATAGTATTGTGGCTCAATTGTTTACTTACATCTAAGGAGAATCCTGAGCACGTGATACAGCCTATGTCAGCACCATGGAGACCTCACTGGAAAATGCATATGTAGAATACATATGGATTTGAGCATGATGGAATCATATCTCAAACTAAAAGCAAGAATACTATATAGTGGTGAAGTACTAGGAAAACTCTTGTCAATGTTAAGAAAAATAGGACGGGACTTTTATCTCTGTTTTAATTCTGGAAACATTTGATACAATTAAATAAAAATGATGCTTTGAAGGCATGAAGCCATTTTCTCTTAGTTTAAAAAAAATGACATCATGTGTAACTGGACAAAATGAGCTAGTATCAGATCTACTGTAGGGGCTGGAGAGAAGGCTTAGCAGTTAAGAGGACTTAATATTCTTCCTGAGAACTGAGTTCTATTCCCAGCACCCATATATGATGACTTGCAACCACTGACACTAACTCCAGTGCCAGAACTTCAGCGCCCTCTTCTGGCCTCTGCAGGCACCTGTGCATACACAGCACACACACACACACACACACACACACACACACACACACACACACAATTTAAAAGTAATCTTAAGTAAAATAAAATAAATCTACTGTAGTTTGGTGCATACTTGTAATCCCCATACTAATGTATAAGATTTGCTTGAGTTCATGTGGCAACATAATGAGGCCCTGTCTCAAGACAAACATTATGGAAAAGCAACAATATTCTATAAGCTAGTTATAAAAATTGGTAATTTAAATGTATATATATATAAACATTAAAATGTAATGAAACCATTAACATTTAATAATTCAAATTTTATGCTAGTGTTCTCCTTACACTAACAAAAGTATTATTCTTTTAGTTAATATAACACATGAGGAAAGAAAAGCTTCAGGCACAGTTATTTAAATTCTGAGTATTTCTCATCCATTTTCAAATAGTTTTGCAAAGGAAAATGGGAGGCTTGATTTGATTGCCTTTGGATTCTATTTGAATTGAGCTAGAAGAATTGAAATGGCTAGGAACACCAAACAACAAATTATAAAGTCGTTTCCAGAGTTCTAAAACAGAGTTATATTTAGTTTCCCATTCTTCAGACTCTTTTTGTGTTACAGATGGTTTTCACTCACAAATTTTAAAGAAACTTTGATTCATCTTTCCTACTTATAAAAATGGAAAGATTGTTCCATGTTTATAAGAAGTGGTTAGTATCACAAAAGGAACGGTTATGCAAATTACTTTCTGTAACACACTATCCTCAAGCCCGCAGTAAAAATACTTTTCTCTAATTCAAAGTTCAGGGCAGTCTGGACAGGTCTCCTACTAGGCAGGAGTCTGAGTTTCTTACGGCTCTCCTGTGAAATAAACTCTTATATCCTCTGCTATAGTTGTGTTAATTGTCAACACAGCAAAATTTAGATAGTCTGGGAGATGGACTTCTGGGCATGCCCATGAGGGATTTTCTTGATTACATTAATCGAGGCAGTACACCATGGGCAGTACTGTTTCCCGTCTGGAATCATGAACTGTACAAATGGAGAAAGGGAGCTGAGCAGAAGTATGTATTCATGGCCTTTTCTTCCTGATTATGGATGTCACAGACTGGTTGCTCTGACTTTGCCAACATGGTGGACTAGACCTTTAAACTTGAAAGCATGAATAAACCAAGTCTCCCTGCATTGTTCTTGTCAAGGTGTTTTATCACAGCAGCAGGAAAAGAACGTATGACATCCCCCTCAATGCATCTTAGCTTTACCTTGCCCTGTAGATGGAAAGATAAATGGACCAGTGACATCCGAAATCAGAAATAGTTTTATGTTGGTCACAAACTAGCTGAGACTTGACAGAATTGCTAAAGGCATCAGAGCTTGCCAGGCAGTGTTTATCAGAAGATCAGCGTGAAAAATTTAAAAAGACAGTAAATGTTAATAGATGCCAAGGAGAAGGCAGAGCCACGTAGCGCCTGCCATTCTTCTTCATCAAGGAAAATGGAGCATCTTCACACAGGAGAGTACGGGAGTGGAGAGTGAGTCATAAATTTTACAACTCATTTTCTACAAAGGAATTGAATTGCAGAATGTGATGGTCTGACTTTCTCTGAGGCAGTATATATCTAAGTTGATAGTGTAATTAACATCAAGCTTAAATGTCAGTACTCTTTAAAAAATGAGTACAAATCCTGGATGGAAGTATGTCAACGAAGGTGTTGTCATTAACTGTCCCCTTGCTATGGCTGCCATTACACACGGAGAATTTTTAGCATCCCACGGCTTCATTCTTAGGTATATAGGATCCAAGCAAGTTCATTCTGGTTTCTTAAAGGAAACTTTCTTATTCAGCTGCTCCTGTGGAATGCATGAGGGGAAGGGTAGTCAGCACTCATGAGGAACTAGAGCAGGAAACTGAAGAGTCTCCAGGAATTGGCATTCCCCCACTGTCTACCCCCCCACATATTATTCCACCTGTGTTTTTTCTATTTTCTCTACTTTATCCAGATCCAATCAGCAAACTAGCTGTCTGCATGCCCTTCTAGACATGGCCCAATCACTCTCATTCTTCTTGGCCTTAGATGCATGTGTAGTCCTATTACTACCCCAAAACAGGCTCTAGCTCTCAATAGAAAAATATTCAGCCTTGCCTGGTTTGTGGGCAGGTGACCACCTTTTGCCTGATTAGAGAGGATTGGAATTATTTGGTATCACCATGGAAATGGACTCAATTCAGAGGCTATTTTTGGAGGAAGAAGGGTCTCAAAAAGAGAACTGAGGAGAAACTTATAGTGCTGTGATCTGGACACCACATTTCAGTGTTTGAGAAGGCTCAGAAAAACTTACAGAACTCTTTTCTCTAATTATATGAACTTCTAACATTGAGGTAATATTTTTAGTACATTTGAATATTAAATGTTTCCAGGTCAAATGCTGATTAAAAGTTGTATCTAAAACTGTAGGGGAAAGGAGCCAGCCAAAGAAATACACTTTAGCCCTACATCCTACATCCAGAACCAAAGAAATACACCCTGATCCTGAAACCAGTACCAAAGAAACACACTTTATCCCTAAAATCAGAGCCAGTGAAAGAAATACACCCTGGCCCTAAAATTAGAGCCAAAAATAACTAAAAAAGGACCAGTGAAAGAAACACAGTTTGGTCCTGAAACCAGAGCCAAATCTGCCCCTGAACCTGAGCAGAAAACCAACCAATCCCCAAGCACAAGATCTAGTCGGTCTGAGCTCAGGGATTGAAATCTGACCAAACCCTAGCTTGGAAGTCTCCCTGAAAAAACTCCACCCGGGAAGCCCTATATAAACCCTGTGCCTGTTCAGCTTGTGGCTGTTCGTCTGCCTCCCTCCACCCTGGCAGAGGGCAGCCATTCTCGTGGATTCTTCCCTCCCAATAAATCTGTTGAATAAGGTTTTGGTGAGACTTTCCTTCTCTGCAGAAGGAAGAGGAGAGAGGAGCAGAGGAGAGAAGTAGCAACTTCACTGGAGCCACAGCAGAGCAGAACTGAGTGGAGCATGGCTATAACACTTTCCCTGGAGAAGCCTTCCCTTGGGGAGGTGTTGTTGCACTCCAGGGGGGCCAGAGCCAGAGTGAGGCCAGAGCCAAACAGTAACAGCTCTGTTATGCTGGGGAAGCCTTTCCCTGGAGCAGGGCTGTAAGCTGCTCCACTTACTGTGATCTGGGGTATTCCCTGGCTCCTGTGTGCCAGAATAGCTTTCCATTAGAGCTGTAACACTCAATATTCTTTGACTCCCCAGTGCCGGAATCCCTGTGCACCCAAATCATTGTTTACAAAAACCACAGGATGTGATACATTTGGTAGAAAATAATCAGTTCTTACTCATGCTGGGAATAGTTATCAAATGACTTATTTTAATTAATTTATTTATTAAGTGACATTGCTGACAGGGTACTGTTATCTGTGGAGGTCAGAGGGCAATTTGAAGGAGTATGTTCTCTCTTTCCACATTACAGGTCCCAGGGATCAAACTCATGATCAAAGGCTTTGGGGGAGGTGCCTTTACCCACTAGCCATGTTTTCAGCTCTCTTAAAGCAAAATTCCTCTTTATTGAGACATAGCTTAATGGAGGCGATGTGAGAAATCTCAGAAGTCTCCGTGGAGAGAACATTTTTCATTTTTTCCCGTGATACCTTTACTTCTGAGTTTGGTGAAAACTAGAAAGGGCATAGATCAGAAAGTTTCTAGAAGTCAGGCAGTGGCATAGTTCATTAGTTTCAGTTACTTGGGAG